TTTTGATCAAATAGTTTGATCAGTTTAATTATTGTGTTTTATAAAGTGGATATATTTTTTTGTTCTTATTCTGTGCGGATTATCTTAATATTATTCCCGACAAGCCATGTAAATGATTAAGCTGGTTAAATTTATTCGTATATGTACTAAATAATCTTTACATTGCTTATTTATCATATTTGAAAAAAAAGCAGCAGATTTCACGCTGAATTTTGGTTTTACATTCAACGAGTACGAGTGAAAAATGAATACTAACACACTTAATCTCATACTTAAATAGTCTTTCGCTCTGATGCAAATAAATTATCAAATAAGATCAAAGAAAATGTAATTTTACAGGAGAGTAAATATAAGGACAGAAAAGAAATAAAGGTAACTCGAACTACTCGTGCTCTACTTCGTCCCTAAAGTTCATCCCCAAAATACGTCCCTGAAGTTCGTACTCACTGAGTTCTTCATATTGCTTTCTTGTTCTTCTGTCTATAAATATCTACAACAAATCTTTTTATTTTACAAAAACAAATTTTTACACTGACGATTGAATATAATGTAAGTAACCTCAATAGACGTAAACTTCTGGAGTATTCTTCATACTTTTTGATTCTTTACCACTGAACAGGATACTGTTTTCTGATACACAACACTATACTACAAAATCCTACCATATTTTAATATAGGAACTTTCAAATGATGAATTAACTGTAGTATTTTATTTTAGATACTATACTATTTGACTTAATATTCTGTTAACTCGGCATCGATCATGTCATCTTCACTTGATGGTAAAGTAGCTATTGTTACAGGATCAGCTGGTGGCCTTGGAAAAGTGATAGCTAAACATCTACTTGCCGCTGGTGCCCAAGTTGTTTTATGTGATATAAATGAGACAGCTCTCGAAGCAACATACAATGAATTGAAAACTCATGGAAAATGCATAGTTATCAAAACAGATATCTCTTCATCTTCCTCAATCCAAGAATTATTTGAGAAAACTATCAGCCAATTGGAAAAAGTAGACATTCTTGTTAACAATGCAGGTATCATGGACAAATTTGATGGTGCAGCGGACTGCGAAGAGAATTTATGGAATCGGGTATTAGCGATTAATCTAACTGGACCTTATTTAACTACGAAACTGGCTGTCAAACATTTCCTGACACGTGATAGTCCAGGCACAATTGTAAACATTTGTTCTTTGGGAGGACTTCTAGGACATCGAGCAGGAGCAGCATATACAGCAAGTAAACATGGTTTGGTTGGATTAACTAAAAATACAGCAGCAGCGTATTGTAAAAACAAAATTCGTTGTAATGGTATTTGCCCTGGAGGGATGGACACAAAAATTACCTCGGCAATAGCAAATGGATATAATCAGTCAGGTTTGGAAATTGTTCAAAAGACCATGGCTACTAATCCAGGTTTATGTGACATTGATCAAATGGCAAACTTGGTGGTGTTTCTTTGTGGGCAAGATTCTAACATAATAAATGGTGCTATTATCAACGCCGATATGGGATGGAGTGCCTATTAATAACAGATAAAAACATAGTTTTTTTTTGAAAAAAGATTGATTTGTTTTTTTTTATTCTTAAAATATACGATTTAAAATATAAATATCAAAAATTGACAATGGTGCTCGATGTTGCTAAGGGTGTGGGTATGGATGTTGACTTTACTACCATTCACACCCACCCACCCCCTGATAAGGAGGAAAAATACCTGAACTATGTCAAGGGATGAGAACGTTCAGAAAATACCTTAATGCGAAGGAGATAAAAAAAAGATATATATGCATGCCGTACTTATCATTTCTACAACATAACAGAAGGAAAAAAATTTGAGTCACATTTAAACCCATTTTGATTTTTCAATACATTCACAGATCTAATTATTTTAATAATTGACCATGTAAATGCTATTCGAAATGTTTGCTATATTATATATTCAATATCAACAACAAAAGTATTAATCACCATCTCTTGCATGAATTTCACGTTGAGAATATTCTCCTCTTTTCCTTTTTTAGTATTGCTCAACTTCTTACCTGTTATCAAAAATAAGATTGCATTTGAATGACTCAATCTATAATGACTATTCAACAACAGATAACAACAACAATAATACCTTAGATGGTCACACAATGATTGCGTTAAACTACTATATAAATACTTCCAACATTCAGTATGAAATTATTACAAACTTTCTCAAACAATTCAAACTAAAATGTCTTTCGGTTTATCTGATCAATCAAATCCAATTGTTCTCGATAATGGTTCTGGTATGGTTAAAGCAGGTTTTGGTGGAGAAGATGCCCCACGTGCTGTTTTCCCAGCAGTTGTCGGGCGTCCACGTTATAATGTTGTTATGAGTGGTATGAATCAAAAAGATTCATTTGTTGGTGATGAAGCATTAGCAAAGAAAGGTATTTTATCAATACAATATCCTATTGAACATGGAATAGTGACAAATTGGAATGATATGGAAAAGATCTGGCATCATACATTCTATAATGAACTTCGTGTTGCACCAGAAGAACATCCAGTTCTAATTACAGAAGCACCACTTAATCCAAAAGCGAATCGTGAAAAAATGACACAAATCTTGTTTGAAACATTCAATACACCAGCTATGTATGTTGCTATACAAGCTGTACTTTCACTTTATGCATCTGGTCGTACAACTGGTATTGTACTTGATTCAGGTGATGGTGTGACACATACTGTTCCAATCTATGAAGGTTATGCATTACCACATGCAATAGGTCGATTAGATTTAGCTGGACGAGATCTAACTGATTGGATGGTACGATTATTAACTGAACGTGGTCATGCATTCACATCAACAGCTGAACGTGAAATTGTTCGAGACATAAAAGAAAAACTATGTTATGTTGCAACAGATTTTGAACAAGAATTAGCACTTGCTACGTCTTCAAACGCAATCGAAACAACCTATGAACTACCTGATGGACAACTAATAAATATTGGTAGTGAACGTTTTCGATGTCCAGAAGCACTTTTTGCACCATCTATGATTGGTCGAGAAAATGAAGGTGTCTCACAAATGGTTTATAATACAATTATGAAATGTGATATTGATGTTCGAAAAGAATTATATGCAAATACAGTTTTATCTGGAGGTAAATCAAACATTTCTAATATTAATAAATAAAAATATGCTTTATATATTTCTGTTTTAAAGGTACAACTATGTACAATGGTATTGCTGATCGAATGGAAAAAGAACTCAAAGCATTAGCACCATCAACAATGAAAGTGAAAATAATTGCTCCACCTGAAAGAAAATATGCAGTATGGATTGGTGGTTCAATTCTTAGTTCACTATCAACATTTGAAGCAATGTGGATAACTAAACGAGAATATGATGAATCGGGTCCATCAATTGTACATCGAAAATGTTTTTAAATACTGTTTTTTTGTGTTCTTGAAAATAAAAACTGAATGATATAAAATAATGTTAACATCCTCTATGTTATTTATATCGAGCCTAGATGATTGTTCTATAAAATTTAGCAACTATCGAACAGTAAAAAGTTCCGGAAACGTTTTTATCTTACTTACTCGATAACTTTTCTTTGTAACAAAAAGTCATATAAATGAAAAGATCAATAAAAAATAAAGTATACTCAATATATTTTTATGACTTAAATTATAAGAAATTTCTAACATATTCATTACATATTAATATTGTTCGATATTATGTTTCTGATCACACCATTATTTTATTCTTCCCCTCAGTTGGCAAATAACGAGGAAAACTAATAATTTGTATTCTAATATATAAGGAAAAGAAAAAAAGAGTCAATAATTTATATATTATTCATCATGAGGAAAAAATGAGAATTTCTTTTTCTCACTATCGTTGTCAAGAGACTAGAAAAAGAAGAGAAAAGAACAAAAAAAAAGTAATAGTCACTAGTTTTTTTCCATTATTTCTTTGTCTGAACATACACAAGTAAGAAAAGAAAAATGTTCTGGGTTTTCTATATGATGTTTTCCATATTTCGATCGCATCGAAATCGATTCTATTGGCGTGATGGTAAATTACATTTTCGAAAACAAAATCCTCAACAACAAGGTCAAAATCAAAGAAGACTAACACCTGCTGAAGAGCGTCAATCATTTCAAAATAATATTCGACAATGGCTTATATTTTATGGTGTTTTAGCTAGTATTATCATTGCTATTCTTATTTATCGATTAAATATTCGTCAAAAAAAGGTTACATAATTATTTGTTTTTTTGTCGCTTAATAAAATAATTTTTAGATGTATGTTTTTTTCTTTTCTTGATGTTTTGACATTGATTTATAAAACTTTGTATGATTGATAGAGACAAAAAATAAATTTATATATTTGTCCAAAAGACAAAATGAAAATAAAGAAAGAACACAAAACTACTAATAGTAAAGCGGGGTTGTGTTATTTTCGTAGATAATTTTGAGAATATATGAACTAATATCCAAGTTGATGAAGAACACTACGAAGAAAATCTTGCTGTGTTGCATAACCACCGATATCACGTGTTTTAATACGTTGTTGTTTGATAACAGCAGCAATAGCATTTTCGATTTTCGAAGCCATACCGTCTAAATAATAAAATTATAAGAATATATGTAAGAGAAATTTAAATAAAATTTACCAAGATGAAGATATTGAAGTAAATTAACTCCACATAAAAGCATAGCTGTTGGATTAGCAATATTTCTACCAGCACCTGTTAAAAATGGATGTCGCGCACCCTAAAATTTCAATTAAATATGATTATTGTCTGTATGAACAAAATATTTCAATTATTTAATATACCGGTTCAAAGATTGCGACATCAGTCGAATAAGATTCACCAGGAACCATTCCTGCTCCTCCAACTAATCCAGCAGCTAAATTAGCGACAATATTTCCATAAAGATTTGGTGCAACAAGTACATCAAATTGTTGTGGTTTAGAAACCAATTGCATGCATGTATTATCAACAATCATGGTGTCTAATTTAATATTTGGATACAAAGCTGCGACTTCGCGACATGATTCAAGAAAAAGACCATCACCAAGTTTCCTAAATTATTTTTCATATATATATATAATCAATTAAAATAAATCAACAAACATTATATTTGCTTTGTGTACAGCCGTAATTTTCTTGCGATTAAATTTTGTAGCAAAATCAAATGCAAATTTTGCTATACGTCTTGAATTTTCGTAAGTTGTAATTTTTAATGATTCAACAACACCACGAACTGACTAAATAATCAAAGGAAATATTTTATATAATAATAAAATCTTTTTTTCATAAAAAATTTTACTTCATGTTCAAGTGCACTATATTCTCCTTCAGTTTGTTCACGTATGACAATAAAATCGACATTTTGATGACGAAGTTTAAGTCCCGGTACTGTTTTTATTCGAACAACATTAGCATAAAGATCTAATGCTCGTCTATAATAAAAGGATAGAATTAAATTCTTCTTTTTTTTTTAAATATTTCTTTACCTAATTTTCATATTTAATGACATCAGATCACCACCTTCACTAATAGCTGGTGTCTAAATATTTATT